TGAAAGTCATTCAGCAGGATACTGATGGCGGGAATTACCTTGTACAGCTTGTCTCCTTCCTGGATCCTTTTACTGAGCAACACCATTAAAATGTCAGGCTTGGAAGTGGCCATGGCCCAGGTTGCAGGTCCTAGAGAGACATTATTATTTAGTTTTCTAAAGGTTACGGTATATTTGGCTTGCAAATGAATGGATAGCAGAAACATGTGGACATGATGCCATGTTAAAAAAATATCCCTAGAATCCTTTGCCACAAATGTTTTAAATATTGTACAGGTATTTTTATACATTTACCACAAACATTTACACCAACTTTGGCAAAACTGTGAAGTGGAAGAAAAATGATACATGGTTTTCAAAAACTTTTTAACAGTTAGTGAAGAAACATCCTGATGATGAAACCTAATGTTGTGCAACTGTGGCAACTGCAGTTTATTTTAGATATAAAAGATAAAAGGGAAACTGGGTCAAACACGCTCAATCATAATCCTACCGATTTTGGCTCCCTTCTTGAGAAGAGCAATGACTGCTGAAGTGTTTTTGCAGCCGACGGCTCGGTCCAGAGGGCGCATCCCGCTGCAGTCCATGTGTTCCACCAACGCTCCATGATCAACTAGATACTGCACCTACAGCATAATGTCGAAAAAAAAATTGGTGTTATTTTTGATCAGGACCTGTCATTTCAATCCCATATCAAAGAGGTTTCTATAATTTCCTTTTTTTAGGTGCGGAATATTGCAATGATTAGAAATCTCCGGTCCAGGGCTGATGCTGAGAAACTAGTCCATGCATTTGTTACTTCAAAGCTGGACTATTGTAATTCTTACTATCAGGAAGTCCACAAACTGTAGTTAAAAGCCTTCAGCTGATCCAAAATGCTGCAGCCAGAGTTCTCATGAAAATGAAAAAGAGAGATCATATCTTTCCTATCCTGGCTTCTCTTCATTGGCTTCCTGTTAAATCCAGAATAGAATTTAAAATCCTCCTTCTCACATATAAAGCCTTAAATGGCCAAGCTCCATCTGATATCAGAGGTCTGATTGTTCCTTATGTTCCTAACAGAGCACTTCGCTCTCAATCTGCAGGTTTACTAGTGGTTCCTAGAATTTCTAAAAATAGAATGGGAGGCAGATCTTTTAGTTATCAGGCTCCTCTCCTGTGGAACCAACTACCAGTTTTAGTCCGTGAGGCAGACACCCTGTCTACTTTTAAGGCTAGGCTTAAAACTTTCCTTTTTGATAAAGCTTATAGTTAGAGTGGCTCAGGTTATCCTGAGCTATCTCTATAGTTATGCTGCTATAGGCTTAGACTGCTGGAGGACATAGGGGCCTCTTTTCATCATCTCTAACGTTCTGCTCTCCCTGCTTTTGGCTGTGACTCCATCCTGGAGAGAAATATCAGCTGCCATCAACACCTTTGTTATAGATGTTGGAGATCGGCCTGTTTTCCAGTGTAGTCCTGTTTCTCTGACTGTGACTAACTGGATGTGCTCTCTTTCACCCTCTGACATGGGAGCTGGCTCGAAGCTCGTCTGAGTGTTTCCTGGACGGGGCTCCTGTGGAGCTGGCTAACAGTTGTCTTTTGTCTCTCTCTCTTCTTTTGTACGTCTGCTTCTATCTCCTTGAACCCCAGTCAGTCTTGGTGAATGGCCACTCAAACTGTTTCTGCTGTTCAAAGAGTTTTCCTCCCTACTGTTGCTACAAGTATGCTTGGTGTGAGGGATTGCTTTTGAGTAAATGAGTTGAGGCAATGAACTGGTTTTCCTTAGATAGAAAGCTTTGAGCCAATCTGACTGGATGATCTGGTTGAATTGTCTCTGTACAAAGTGCCTTTAGATGACGTGTGGTGAATTGGTGATATATAAATAAACTGAATTGAATTTAGGAAATAAAGTAATCAAATTTTTTAGATGAATTGATCTGAGCCCAAATATTATCCGTTAAACTCTCAGTAGTACGCGCTGAGTATTCGAGCATTTGTTTTTTCTTCCATCAATTCTCCGGGATAGAGACAGAAACAAGGACAGCTTCATTTGGAAAAGCATCTCCATCTGTAACTAACCACATCAGGATCTCCACGAAATGCCGCCAGGTCCAGAGGAGTGCGACTACTGCGGTCAACATGGTTGACGGCTGCCCCTCTCTGCACCAGCTCTCTGACCAATGAAAACTGGCCTTTAAGGCACGCCCAGCTTAGCGCCGTCAAGCCTTCTTTGTCAGTCTGGTCCAGAGAGGCTCCTGGAAACAGAGAAGAATAATCTTGATCACCGTATTTCACTTTTTCAAACATTTTAAAGAGATTCTAAAGGACAGCCTAACAGGAAGTAGAGTATAACAGTACAGTGGATGTAAATGAAACAACCTGCATTTTCATTCAGCTCCTCAGACTCACTTTCTTTTAAAACCCAGGTGTATTCTTTTTTTCTTTTTTCATTGCCTATAGAGTAACTTGGGCTTGGTCAGAGTAGATGCATAACATCACTAAATATAATTTTTTCAAGTCTTGGAACAGATTCTGAATTGGATTTAGATCTGGATTTGTACTTTGGCATCCTTTGATCAAACGCTTCCAATGCAGCTAAAACTATTGTTGTGTCCAAAATCAATGGCTGAATCCCAAACCGGTCCCTAAACTACTAATATAATTTCTTGTTTGTCTCATGCACTGTTCAAACTAATTGCCTTTGGTGTGAATAATGTAGTGGTCTAAATCTAGCCGGATGTCATGCTCGTCTTTTTAATTATAATTATGAAAAATGTAAGAAGGCCCAAGAGGCATGTTACCATGATCCAACAGAAGCTTTGCGGAGGTGATGTGTCCTTCTGAGGCTGCCGTCATCAGTGCTGTTCGACCCTGCTGGTCAACCACATTAATTTCAACGCCGTGGTTCAGCAACAGCTGCGCCACCTGTAACCAAAGAGAGGCAGAGACTCTGAGACCCTGCAGCATTAAACCCAGTTGTATGCTCTGATTGCATTTTACCTGGCAGTGGCCGTTTCTCACGGCGCTGAGGAGCGGAGTGACGCCCTGTCTGTTGCTTTGCTCAGCAGCAGCTCCTTGATCCAGCAGAAGCCTGCAAACAGGAAGCTGTCCATGTCCTGCTGCAGCAGTCAGAGCTAAAACACACACAGCAACCACACAATCAACAGCCACACTGAGCAGCTATAAGAAACTAAGGTCTGAGCTGGAGTCTTAATCGTCCTCAAAGATTACAATTGATAAAAACGAACAGCCATTCAGTAAAATCTACTAATTTAACTCACATCGATTCAATTAAATTCAGTTTATTTCTATAGCGCCAATTCACAACACAAGTCATCTCAAGGCACTTTACAGTTTAACCAGATCATAAAGTTAGATTGAATAAAGGTTTTCCATCTAACAAAAACCACTTCATTAGATCGACTCATTGACTCGAGGGAATCCCTCACAGTAAGCATGCTTGTAGCGACAGTAGAGAGGAAAAACTCAGTTTTAACAGGAAGAAACCTCCAGCAGAACCAGCTCCTATGTCAGAGGATGAAAATGAGCACATCCAGCCAGCCCAAATTCAGAGAAACAGGACTACACTGAAAAACAGGCTGATCTCCAACATCTGTTTTCCAGATAAAGAGTCGCCACATCCTGTTTCTCTTCCATTAGGTTCCATTCTTTCAGATTTTATCACCAATTATAGGGCTGAACGATTTTGCCAAAAATCTTAATTGCGATTATTTTCAAACAATATTTAGATTTTTCTGTGATAATCTTTTTTACTAGTGAAGGGGCCAGCAATACCGATGCGTCAGTGCATGCATGGAGCCCATAGAGCAAATTACTGCATCGGTGCGCTGGTTAATTCAAGAAAGTCATTTGACTGATACAGGAGTTTCTAACTGACTGACTCACTAAACTGTGTTTAAAAGTATCTGTCAACATCATGCATCTGCTAAAAAAAATGTATCATCTTTTGCGGTTTATCATTCAAATTATCAATAATATTGGAGCAGCCTAAAAGGAGTAGGAAAAGTTTCAGCCGATTTTTTTCGTTGTGTCATCCTTTTCCTCTCAGTCTCTCAGTCTTTTATGAATTGAAGTTAATTTCAAATTTAGTCTATTTACTTTTGTTTTTTGACTGTACTTATTGTTTAAAAAAACATGATTTAAAGTCCACGAGCATCCTCATTTAGATTTACCCCTAAATTTTCATGTGTTTATATATGTTTACATTATTTATTGGTTGCATCTAAAAATATCTAAGATGTTTTCAATTTAAAAATACATATGAAATGATACAACATAACCCACAATAACTTAAGTGATATCATTGCGCTCTGGCATCAAAACAATAAAGTTTAGGATTTCTGTGTTACATTAACGCACAGTCTACTGTGTGTATATAGCTTGTGTATATATATATATATATTCTATCTTATTTTGTTTTTTGTCTGCACCAACAACACCAAGTCAAATTTCTTGTAAGTGCAAACCTACTTGGCAATAAACTTGATTCTGATTCTGTCTGTCAAATAAGCTGCCTGTAGTGTCTTTAAATGTCCAGCAGGTGTCAGTATTCTGTCAGACAGTATCAATGCAGGATCAATTCAGTTTGGCAATGGCTTCAAGATGCCTCATTAATCATCATTACTTTTTACCAAGCATAAGCATGTTGATGCTCTACCCCACGGTTTCAGGTTTTTTCATGACCCTGAGAGCCTGCTTGTTCAGACTCCTGTGTCGCAGGAGTCTTGTTGTTATTTAAAACGCTTTGAACTTTCCTACTGACCGTCTCACCTTGAATACTGGGTCCATCTGTCCCGTTCTATGACAGTTTTAATCTTGTTCAATGTATAGCGATTAAAAAATTGAGTAACTCTGCAATTTGAAACCTGCATTTTTTTAATTGTTACTATATTGCCAATGCGATTAATTGCCTAGCCCTAATTGGGTACCTGTTCAATAACTGAAATGGCTGATCATGTGGAAACGATAACTGCTGAACTTTAAGCTTAACATCAGAAGTGAAAAAAAAAAAATTGTCACTTTAAACATAGAATGGTAATTGGTCAAGCCCACCAACATTGGATAACATAATAAAATGAAGGAAAAAAAGTAAAAACGTAAGAACATTTCTGGTTGCGATAAGGCTGATGAAGCTATTTGATGCTCTCATGTCTCTTCCCCTTTTTTTAAATAAAAATTAGAACAGTTTTTAAAGTTAAAGACTTTACTGACACTGATGCCCTTCATGGCTGTTAAATGCAACTCAAGTCTAAAGCAAATTCCAATTTGTAAAATGTCCACCAAGATGGCAGTATCTACTCCACAAAGTTTACTAACTTCTCAGTGAAATGTTAATTTGTTTCACGTCCCTCCAGGGAACGCTGCTGAGTTCAGCCCAGTAAAGGTTGAACAAAATTATAAAAATGTGAAAGCCCTTTAAATCTGAATGCAAAACAAAAATCCTTCTACACACAGTTCGACCACGATCTGAGGTTAATGCGTCTATATTCTAATGACAGTTTTGTTTTGTTCAGACACATCCTCTCCCTCCAATGTGTATATTAGCAACATAATGTGGTCCTATTCATTCAAATATATAATTTCCCATCATTTGTCTGCACCCACATGATTAAAGTTTGGGAGTGATGGCCTAGTGGTTAGAGCAGTGTGCTTGTGCTCTGAGAAGGTTGCAAGTACCCGGTTCAATCCCCCAGCCTGCACTCTGGGTTCCTGAGCAAATGGCACAATGGCAGCCCACTGCTCCCCAAGGGGAGGGGTTAAATGGAGAGTGAATTTCCATAATGTGTGACAATAAAGGAATTTACATTTACAAACTGGGTCTAAAGGCTGATTTATATTCGAAACAAGGCCGTCTGCATAGATGGCACGGTGAACACAGACACGTCCCCGCCCCGTCAGCGGACACTCTGCTGCACCTCTCCCACATTGTAGGTGACCGCAGACAGAAGGCGTCTGATTGGTCAAATCTACATCCGCTCTACTCATGTTCGGTTCCTTACCGGCTTGTTTCGTTTCTATGACGACGATTGCGGAAAACGACTCGTGAAGATGGACCAGCTAGAAGAGCGAGGTGCACGAGAACACAAGGACCGTTTTTCCACCTGGATCCCCGCTCTTCCTCGCCCTCATGTCCCTCCGCTGTTGGACAATCGTTCTCGCTGCCTTGGTCGTATCTAGACCCAAAGCTAGTTCGTGATTTTCCCCTTTAGAGTTGTGGCATGGAATAAACAGCGCAGACCAAACTTCAATATTGAGTATAAAGCAAAAATGTCTGTCATACCTGCGACATGCTCACTGCGACACACTGCTGCAGGAGTATAACCAGCCCTTAACTGTCAATGTTTACTTTCACATTGCCTGGTAAAGATATTCACGGTCAAAATTTCATTACAACAAAAAACTGTTTTATTGGGGTTCCAAGAGACGTAGCAAAATAAGTAATGTATAACCGTAAAGTAAAACATTGATTTAGGGCTGAAACAATTGGATTAATCAATTAATGAAATAATCGTCAACTAATTTAGTTAACTGCAATATAAAGAGTCCACAAAATGACTTTAGCTGAAAGAGCAGTAATTATACTTAAATTTTACAAATATATAAACATTTTGCATTTAGGTTTAAAAAAACGTTTTCATCTGTCAAAATCCTGTATCCAGAAAAGCTTCACCTGGTTTAATTTCCTAAAAAATCTTCTTCAAGGAACGTTTGGGTATCTGATTATTAAACAAAAAATAATTGACAGATTAATCAACGTGCAAAATAATCATTAGTTGCAGCCCTACATGGAATCCTTTTTTTACAAAGGGAATTTGAAAAGTCTTATTTACCCTCCTGAGTTGTTACTTTAGAGAACCACCTTTCACTGCATGTACGTCTATATATGGGGAATGACTATCAGCTTTGCAAAATCCAAGACTGCTTTAGAAAATAGTTTTTTTTTTTTGCTAAAAAGCTCAAGAGGAGTCAGATGGAATACAGAATTTCTAAACTGCAGCCTTTCCACGGATTATAAATGGAAACTGATCTATTCTATTACATTAGTAATTTTTTGCTTTAAATCATAACATCAAAGCTATGACTGCATTTAGAGCAATAGATTTCCATTTTTTTTTACAACTTCTAACAAGTTTTCTTTAGAGATTACGCTGCATGATCAATATGATGATTTCAGACCTAAATTCTTTCTGCTGAAAAATAAAATCTGCACATCTTGTCACATGGTGGGGAGGAGGAGTCTGAGATAATGTGCTCTCTTAGTTTTCTGCTACATGTTATGTTTTGCGTGTAGAACAGAGAACCCCTCTTTGGCCTCCTCTGACAGTAGCACCCTCTTCCACATGAGTCTTCTTTATCCCCTTCACAGCTTGCAGCAAACAACAAACACTGCTTTTCATGGCTCTTTTTCAGTGGCCCTAACCTGACTAAGATAGGTTGGCAGCAAAGTATTTGTGGAATTGAAAACTGAAAAACCACAACCCTCCCCCCTCTGTTCAGTGATGTTTTTTCTCTTTTCACAAACATGGCTTCCTTCACGCCTCTTTAGAAACATCTGTCTTCTCCGTCCAAAATCTGAGCATATTGCTCTTCAGATGTGTGATTTAAAGTCCAGGTACCTTCTGGTTTAAACCTGTTTTATGGCTGCCATGAACTGCATGACTGAGAATTTACAAAGGCAGTCTATTGCCCCAAAAAAGGTACATTTATGTGTACAGATAATGAGTTTTGCCTGACAACTCGGTGCGAACCCAGAGGGACTCCCCTTGCATGTTACTGCAGCCAAAGCCCCAGCAGCTGCACCATGTTCAGTGCGATTCCACCGTGAGGGCATCATACAAAGGTTCATGCATAGAAATCATATTTTTGTTCAACTCTAAGTTATCCACAGCTTAGTTTTGATTCATGACGTAATTTTTCTGTGCATGAAAAACGTTTGTAAAGCCTGGTATTTTCTACAATGGACTGGCGACCTGTCCAGGGTGGACCCCGCCTCTCGCCCGTAGACAGCTGGAGATAAGCACCAGCAGCCCTCGCGACCCCACTTGGGGTTAAGCATGGATGGATGGATGGATGGATGGATGGATGGATGGATGGATGGAGCCTGGTATTTTACTTAGAACCTGTGGCAACTGTGTTGAGATGAACTTTGTTGTGACTCATACCCGTCTCTCCCCAGACACAATCATATGAGTTAATCTCAGGTCTCTGCTCCTCTTCCTCATCTTCCTCGGGAAGATCCAGGAGGTATGACACAATCTACATAAAAGACATAAAGTGTATACTGCGTTCATTATAACCATAGTAAATACACAAATGTTCCTTGTTATTGTCACAGATTTTAACCTCTGAATGCCCCATGCTGGCTGCTGCCACCAGTGTCTGTTGGACGGCCTGGCTCCGGCTCATTCCTCTACAGCAGGAAGTGCAATTCCATTCAGGGCTCTTCAACAGGAGGCGCAGCACCTCAAGGTGACCGTGCTGGGCTGCTAGAACCAGAATGCACCGGCCTGAATTATCCGCATGTCCAACCTGCACATTGAGGGGGAGACGTAGGGCGGGTTCAGTTTTAGAACTTAAACTAAAAAGGTTAGATATTCTTTTTGTTCATTCTCTTTTTAATAAGAAATTTCCCTACAGCTACCTTGGCCTTGTGTTGACACAGCATTGTGACAATGTCCAAGTGACCAGCTGCAGCAGCAAATCCCAGGGCAGTTAAACCATCATTTGACTTAGCATCCACCTAAATATAAGACAGAAAGTCCTCATGTTTGGTTAATGTCTTTCCATTTCATCAATTCCAGAAGGTACAATTAAGAAAGAAAATAAATCACATGAGCTCCATGGTCTAGCAGCAGTGCTACTGCATCTTTGTGGCCGAGGTGAGAATGGACACACAGTAAGGGAGCACCATTGCTGACATTGGTTTGGTAATCCACATCCGCTCCAGCCATAATCAGGAGTCTGCTCACCTGGATGGGAACAGGAGAAAAGGAATACACCATCACTCCCAATACATAAAACTGCCGCCGTTTGTGTCTAATCCTACCTTTATATTGGGAGTGTAGAGGTTGCGAAGCGATGAAAGAACAGGGCTAAGGCTTCCTGTGCTGTACGACATCCACAGCCCCTGAAGAACAGAGGAGGACACTCCAAGCTTCTTACTCAAACCCTGAAAGAGAGCAGGTACAGCTAGAGTTACAAGACCTTTATTTCTGTAATGGTGCCATTCATCTGCTATCTATTCTTACATTTCCAAGTTAAAACATTTATTTTAAACAGTATTAGTATTTTTGGGTTCATGAGGCATCATGAAACATTTGGATAATTGGTGTATTGGATTGACATTGTGTCGAAACTGTGTCACTGAATACTGACACCTGCTGGACATTTAAAATCCCTACATGCACCTTTCACAGGTTAAACTGATGCTGATTTGATGACCTATAACAGGATTTAAGTTGTTTGCTATAATGTATTATTTCATATCTTAAATTAAAAATATGTTTTTAGATAGATTATTAGACAATCCATAAATTTGAACATATAACGGGAAAATTCCAATGAAAAAGCAAATAAGGATGTTTGTGAACTAGGATTTATTTAGTATTCATTTAAAAATAATAACTACAGTAAAAACAGCAATTTAAAATCCATTAAGTTCAGATAAGTTGAGTGATAATTGAGAGAACCAGCATTGCACAACAAGACAATTAAAACAAATACAAGCTCAAAATGGTCCCACTCAGCTGAAATCTTTCTTTGGCTTTCCGGCTGATCCATTATTCTTGATTCATTTGATGATAAAGATCAGAGATCGTTTTGGACGATGTGTTGCGTTGACAGACGTGCTTATAAACACAGTTTAATGTGTCAGTTAGAAACAGCTCCTGTATTGGTCATGTTGAAACGATACGCACACAGACGCAGGGTTAAGCTCTATTAACTCGACATATATGCAGACGCTTCAGTGTTGCTGGACCAATAAATAATTATTATATTAAACATTTTTCCATTAAGCTTTTTTTTAAATTTTTGCTCCGTTTTGGGCCTTTCTCTGTATCTGAAATAATTTTAAAGGCATAGAAAGATACTTTGCCATCCACCACATGGTAAGTGCAAATACTGGAGTAAAAACCAACCGTTAGTTAATTACATGCAATTCTCTACAAACAGTCTGTCCGTGCCTGTGAGGATTCACCTTCTTCTGTATTAATGGATTGTCAAATTTTTCTTTCCTTTAGTTCTTCTGCACTCAGCTTGAGAAGAATCTCCACAGCATGACGCTGTCACCATGGTGTTTCATGCTAGAGATGGTGTGTTCATCAATATGTGTTGTTAGTCTTCTGAAGTGTTTGCATGTAGGACAGAAAGTGTAGGTTTTGTCTCATATAAAGTGAGCGCCTTCTTCCAGATGTTTGCTGTATCCCCTGGATGCCTCATGAAGGCAGATGCTTGAAACTGATGGCCTGATCTAGTTTCTATGTAATTATACTCATAATCATCTGACCATTAAGGGTGACTCATCGTTTGCTAGCATTTATTTTTTATTTGTAAATACAGAAAAAGAAAATCACAATAAAGGAGGAATCAATCCAAAGTAGATTACAGTGAACTCCTCGCCTATAATCTCAATAAACCTGCACTTCTGAAACTGGTAATGTAGTACTACTATTCCAAATTGCAAAAATACAAGGAGAGAAAGGTGTGACATCAGTTTCAAGCCAATGTGCAGTGAGCATCATACAAGTCAAAAACATAAAAAAAATAATAATAATTTGATGAGATACAGTTGTTCATGAAACTCTTACAGCTTGACTCCTGAGTAAAGTCTCTTGCCTTAAGCCTAATTTAATTCTTAATTCTGCATCTTCAGTGCAACTCAGGCACCAGTTTAAGTCCGAGTCCACGTCTCTTCTTTAGATATGAATTACATGGCATTCTTTAACAGTTTGTACAAAAACAGCAATGAACTGTGTCTAAATCAGTGAGATTAATGTTCATCAGCCTCAGGCCAAGATTTACTTTAAAAGACAACATCTAAAAAAAAAAGTCACCATGGCGTTAGCTTGACGAAGGAATTTCCATTATCAGAGTTTAGGTTAAATGTTAGAATTATACTGTAGTGTGTGGGTGTAAAATAAAGGAACATAGGCAGTGATTAGCAGCAGAGTTAGGTTATAAAAGCAAACTCTGAAAGGACTAAAAAAGAATTGCTTCAGTGATAAATACTGACCTTGTAGATATGAGCTTTCAGAATGTGATGCCCCAGCTCCAGCGTCTGCTGTTGGCTTAGCTTTCCTTCTTGTCTGCAGAGCCAGAACGCCAGCAAGGTGTGTCCACTTCTAGAAAAGATGGATCAGAAAAAAAGATAGCCATACTATTTCCTGACACCAACCTGGTCAAATATCTTCTCTGGTCAAATATCAGAGAACACAAATAGCATTAGAATTAATTTTTTTAGCACTTTACAGATATGAGTTTTACTCTCAAAAAGCTCTGACTAAAATTCTATTAAAGTCAGTCGTTAAATACTGACAAGGCCATCATAGTGGGGAGATTTCTGTTGAGTTAAAGAGTCGATGCCATCTGCTGGTTTTCCTTAGATAGAAAACTTTGAACCAATCTGACTGGATGATCTGGTTGATTTTCTCTCTGCCTTTTGAGATGACATGTGCTGTAAATTCGCACTATATAAATAAACTGAATTGAAAAACTCACAACTTATTCTCAATGTGTTGTAATATTGTTAAGATGAACACATTGATTTATTGATATTTGCAGACAACACACTTCCAGCTTTGTTTCAACATACCTTGGGTCACAGAGAAACCTGTCATCCTGTCCCTCCTCCCTCCAAACTAGCCACTCCCTGAAGGAGGCATGGTTAAGCACCCTGCTGCCATCACTCCGCCGTAGCAGGAAAGAAGAGAGCTGCTCTAGCCGCTGCATGAACTCCCCCTTCTGGATTTTCTCTTCAGTGAGACAACCTGCGTTCACCGCTTCAAACAGCTGTGAAAACAGATCTTTAGTCACACTGAGGCTCATTAAAGCGGCACCAAGACTTAGTATTTTTTTACACTGTGAAAGCTAATGCATACCTGCTGGTCGCTCAGCGGGTGAAGGGAAGACACAGTCACATTGAGTAGAGGCAGCACTCTTTGAAAAGCTGACTGTGTAGGGAATCGCATGTTAAGCTGCAACAGGTAGACTTCCCCTAGAGTCACCGGAACCACCTGCAACCATATATGGCTGATCATTATTTCATGCCGTTTACATTCTGATGTCTTTCTTTGTAAAAAAGAGTTACTACAATCTAAACCCTACCTTGAAGCTGGAGCTCTTCAGAACAAGATAACCTCTTTCAATTAGGTCAAGTGTGAGTTTCAGGTAGAGAAAAGAGCCTTTGCTCAAGCTCTTCAAGTGGCTGATGAGCTTCGTCAGTGCTGTGCTGTCAAGGCGACCATTGCCAAGGGATACGTTGCTCTGAATCTCAGGACTGTTGTGGATACGGTGCATCAAGTACTTCTAAAATGCACCAAGAAAGATACATATAGAACTGGGTTAAATAATTTGCCCCTTCAACAAAATTCTCCCTTTTTAAAATTTTTTAGACTATAATTTTTCAAGGTGTCACATATATACACACTCTTTCAACAACTCTGAATCTGAAAGCAAAATAAAAAAAAATAGTGGGAAAAATAAACCTGAAAATATTATGGTAAAAGTTTAGGCAATTTAAAACATTTAAGTTAGTCTTTAATATTTATTTAATGTGCTCCAAATGTGCAGATTTTGGTAAATGTCAAATCTTATCTGCCAATCCCTCTCTTTGTTCTTGAATAGGCAGACGCACGGCGCAGAATGTGGGGGCTTAGTTACGAGCAGTCAGATGTTTCGACCTGTTGTTGAACTAAATCCTTCGTTATCAACAGTAGGCGATACAGAAGGCGGAAGTTACGTAGGTGGCAGAATGCAGGAATGTGTCCATCAATCCACCAGCAAATAAGAGGAACAACACGGAAGCACAGAAGAAGAAGTGCCTATAGTTATAGATATTTATATAACTGCTAGATTTCTTATGGTGGCTTGTATGCATGGGTGTCCATATCTGTCCAAAAAGTAGGGATAATTTCCAATTTTTTTTAAAATGGTATAGGCACTACTTACTGCAAATTAATTTTTTTTGCATTAAGCCGTCAGGAAATAAAAATAAAAAAATGACAAAAGCCTTTTTCCTACTTGGCTAGTTGCCATCGTTTGTTTACATACAGCTTATCGATTAGAGACAGAGCCAAGCCTAAAGCTGATTCTAATGGACATTTCACAATATAAAGCTTTTTCTGCTGCACTTTATTTTCAATAGCTTGTGTGCTGCAAGGACGTTGAGTCCAGTGCGAGTTGAGCAGGCAGCAGACTTCAGAGTTTAGCATGTGCCAGACAAATGTTAAGCAAGCATCCAAGTGTCTGAAATGCACACTAGTCTCACTACTCTTAGATCTCCTACTGTGCCTTGAAATTGACAGCACAGCATATTAAAACAGGCAGCAATCAGTTTCAGGTATAGCCGCTCAGTGGTTCAAAGGTGCTGGCTTTCTTTCATCCTGTAAAGCAAACTGGTGAAGATTCTCAGTCATCCAGGTCATAGGCATTCCAAAACAAAAAAAAACAAAAAAAAAAAAACTATCCACTGGAGTTGGATTTCCGAGTCTGAAGACATTTCGCTTCCCATCCAGGAAGCCTTTTCAATACAAAATATCAGAATTAGCGTTGACTTCTAAGCTTCATATAAACATGTATATTGAACCAGTTTAATAACCGCATTCATCTGAAAGTGGTTATTTGAATCTACTCAAGATGCCGTTGTTTGATATCAAAGTTTGACTAAGATTCCAAATTAATTCAAAAGAATTGTTTTAGAAAATCCTGATTGTTTTTTAAGGAAGCAATTGTTTTTTTTTTTATGTCATAGACACAAACAAGTCAATTTGGAAAAATCTGGAGAGGGAGTTGGTAAGGTTACCTGCAGGTCCTGGTCTATGGCATTTTTCTCCTTCTGGTCCAGAGAAATATGGTGAAAAGGTAGAGAGTGAACAATCTCCTGAAAAAGAGAAAAAACCCAGAAAAAAACAATGTTGGTCAGTACTATATTTGCAGAAATAATTTAAGTGTTGGAAATGTAATTAGATTGTAAAAATGCTTCAGATAAATCGATTACTAAGTGTGCAAAACTGTTTCTAGAACTGTATTATTATTACTTTTAAATAAGCAATCAGTATTTTTTCCCTTAGACCTCTATTTGTTTAAATTATAGGACTTTTGACCAAGTACATGTAGATGGAGAAAATATTGATCAATTCCTTTATACTACTGTAAAAATGAATGTAAGCAAAAAAACAAAGCAAATTAAAGAGATGTAAGATATTATGATTAATACAATTATATTTACATTTTTATTTGATGCTAGAAATTTACTTCAGACTAAAAAGGATGACTAGAAGACTGAAATTTTTTAAAACCCAAACAGAAAAGCTTTTTCAGATTCAGTTAAAAAAAATCATTAATTTAATGTTAAATCACACAATGAAATAAAAATAAGCAAAGCAATGATAACTTTTGTTATGCCTTGATAAGTAAAGCACAATAATAAAATATGTAGCAGTGTCAACAGTTAAGGTGTTTGGTCATTGTATGTTTGTACAAACAGAAACAACACTGCAAAATTTTAAAATCTATTTAAGTAATTTCTTCTTGAAATAAGTGCATTCTTTGCCAATGGAACGATTTACAGACGATTTCCAATTAAAATATGAAAAATATAAAATATATTCTTATGTAATGTATGTATTTTCTTATTTTAAGAGTAAAAATATTCATTCCATTGGCATCATTTTATTTACCAACTCAATTTAAAGGTAAATGCACTTATTTTAAGAAATATTTACTAATTTCTAGATCATGTTTGCAGTTAAAAAATTTAGAGAAATTGTACTGTCTAGTTCATTCCAATGCTAGAATTTATTTGCAACAAATTGACATGCAGCTTCTGTGTAGTACGTACAGAGGGATTTATTGCACTAACCAATACACATCAGGAACGTTTATAGTCTAGCTTTAAGAACAGAAGAATATTTAAATTGATTGCTGTTTGAAATGCTTTGAAATGCTTTGATGGATTGTGGGTGTGGGTAATGGGTACCTGCTGACTGGTCCTGACAGTGACAATGACCTTCAACCATGAAGGAAATTTCTGAATGTTTTTGGAGAGAAAGGAGGCTATTGTATCTCCATAATCAGGCCGGTGAAACTCAGCCTCATTAAGCCCATCAATAAGTACAATAAATTCTTCCTCATCATTGGTAATTTTCCTCTCTGAAAAGGAAAAAATAAAAACACAAAATATAGAACAAAAGGTGGCTCAGACTCAAAGTGCTTTCTTAAATGTTGCACTTGTACCTTTGTGCAGAGTATCCAGGGGTTCTAGTATTCCTTTCTGTAGCGCTGAAGTCGGATCCTGAATGCAGTAGCGTAGACTGAGCATGCTTTGCAGCTGTGGTGAACGATGTAACAGTTCTCGATAGGCGGCCAATTGAGGGGCAGCACTCAGCATGGCTGCCATGTTATGAACGTACTCAGGAACCAGACAAGTACGACAGTCATCAGCCTGACAGAAGTGATAAGAAACTACCTGCAAAACAAATGGGTGAGGTTATCTGTTCAGACTTTGCTAAAAAGTGTCAGAAAAAAAAACAACAACGATGGAATACCCGTAGAAACATTCACATTATAAATCCCTCAGTTTGAATCTTTTCACAAATTCTCAAGTTAAAATCAAAACTTTTAATATATTGCCAAAGGTATTTGTTTCTTTGTCCTCATCTAAATAAAAAACTTAGTAAATAAGGTGTAATATAAGTTGGACTTGCCCTTTGCTGCAGTAAGAAGCCCAGTTCAGTTTTGAAGGCTTTCCAAAAGTGTTTATTGATGTGTTGAAAGGAATTACTCATCATTCTTTCACAGGTTCACTGAGCTTGGAAAATGTGGCTTTGTTTGTCGTGTTTGCTATCAATCATGTCGAAGCTGTTCTGAGGCCATAAATATGTGCAGGCCAGTTAAGGCCCGAACACGCTGGTTGTGTATGACTTTTTAATCTCCTATCCTTTTTTCTCTATGTCAAACTGACTGCATATAGAAAGGTTCCGTCTAGTCAGGGTGAGAAGACCTGTGCAGATTATTTTCACTTCTGTCTCTGAGCTACACGCAAATTAAAACTATTTCCCACATTTGACTTGGACAGAATATCAAGTTATTGAAAATTCTTTAAATAAAAATAAAAACCACCAACGCATTCTATAAATCAAAGCCCCACTTAACAAGTAGAACAGATAGAGAATGTTCATTTGCCTAATGAAAACATAATGAAAACTATGTCTAAAGAAAAGAAACATTGCAATAAACGCCGTGTGGCTGTTTATATGTGACTGAGACAGTGATTCTCAGAGAGAGGGTGCCTACGTGGGAAGTTTATCTGAGTTATTTGGTTTTTTGCAAGGTTCAAAGAGATAATTTTTTTTCTTTATCTGTTTTCCATCCTCCTGAACTCCTATCATGGATAAAGTTTTCTTTAATGTGTCATTCATTGTTTTTGCACAACTCTGTCCCACTTGCTATAAAAAAAAGGACTCTTTCCCTGTGCGATTAACAGATTTTGTATTTTCCCCCCAAAGGGGATGTTTTATTTTGTAACCTTGTCTCTCTTCCTGTCAGACCCATCAAATTGCAGCTGCATTGCAGCATAGTCTGACTTCAATATATCTGGAGTGTATCTCAGTCGGACCAACACAGCTCCCTGCAGAAAAACATGTCGGGTGTGATCATCCCCATCGACTATCAATGAGCGTTAAACGCCACAACCTCCGAGGCACAGTTTTCTGTTGGATCAGACCCAAACTCAGATTCGGTGTGTTCTGGCTTTTAGTGTTTTCCACAGATGGGCCCCAGAAGGCTCAGTGGTGTTCGTTTCTGTTTAGCTCTCTTCAGTCAGTTAACCTTGGAAACCCATGAAAATTAGGTCCCAAATTCTAAAGGGAAGCTCAGTGTAAATACAGCCGTTCTGTGAGAGCATTACACCTGAGAGACTGGACATTTATCTTTTATCAGACTTGTTGAAGCCCAGGAGTTATTTGCTGAAAAACATAAACTGTATTTTTAGAACTTCTTAGCAGAAATCCAAACCGACAGGCAAACCAGTGGGTAGCTGGAAAGAATTTGAGTTTCTGCCTTTAAGCACATCTCTTTTTGTTCTTGCCTAAATTTTCAACGCTTGTAGTTGGATGTGGCAAAAACAATTTTTAAGAAGTGCCGTGTTTCAGTGTCAGTGTCTCTTTCTAAAATCTTTACCCTGAAATAACACCTTAGGTCTGAGTAAAACTGATACCATATTCCTCTCCTGAGGGTAGTGTGGGCCACCAGCAAATAAAGGCCATCAGAAAAGACTGGCCACAGTCACCCTAACTATGTTATTATATATATGTTTATTTTTGGTAGTATAGTAGAACTGATTTAATCTGATTTAATTGAACCCAAAAACTTAAAAGACAAAGAGGTACATATCTAATGAGTGAGTTTTGTCTCTAACATGGTTTGTGAAGCATATTATCTCCCCACTTTGTTTTCTTTACTTTTTATTATCATTAAAGGCTGAGAATGTGTATTCTGTAATTTACAGTGTTGGGCACGTTACTTTGAAAAAGTAATTAGTTATAGTTACTAGTTACTTCTCCCAAAAAGTAACTGAGCTACTCCACAATAAAAGTAACTGTTACTAGTAAAAGTAACTATTGCGTTACTTTTGGGTTTCTCGCCCCCGTAACCCTCACCACCCGGCCCCCACCTTCTTGCCGTGTGTTTCCAAAGCCAGGTGAATAGAGCGGACGACAAAGACAAGAACCTGCAGAGAGTTTAGCATTTATTGCAACTCAACGTAAATGACATCAGGGGGGAACGCTATCTGATGGGCCTATAAACTACCTACCTACCTACATACA